TTTAATGGAGCCGGTTAACCAATCGCATTTATCGTACCAACTAATATTAAATCCACGATTTTGTCGATTATCCGACGCTTTAATTGAAATCAAATTTGGTTGAGGCCTTCCCAAAGTTTTAATAATGTAAAATTCATTATCATAAAATAAATACTTAAAATTATTTGTCAGCAACCAATCGACTATAAAGTCAGATTTTTAAAATTTTGTCCAACTTATCCATAACGAATGGAAAAAAAACCTACCGAAAAGTGAAAACCTGAAAACACCTTGAAATTGAAAGAAAACACTTTAAAAACACATTAAAAATATTACCAAAAAGCACTGCTATAATACAATACTGCCTGTTTTATACACAAATCACAAATATTATCAAGAAACACTAAAACGATTTACCGAAATATTTTTCAGTCTCGTCGATCATGGCATCCCGTCTGAATAATTAAATAAAAAACAAACGCAGTCGTACACTAACGGATACCAACTGGAGGCTAGCCTCCTCTAACGCTTATAATTTCCGCAACCAAAATTACAAATTGGGACGTATGTCGATGGTTGGTTCGGTCTCGCGAAGCTTGTGTTTTTTAAAGCGGTCGGAGGCTTGGCTCCCTTGCAAGGTATGGCATTTAATATTTCGGGTCGATGGTTTATTCGTTCATGGGCGGTGCGTTTGACGTTTGTTGAAGCAGGAAACAGTGTGGTACATACTATGTAGTGAGTCATAGTGTTTTTTCTGGCATATCATGTATTTATATTAAAAATCAATGGTAATGATACCCAAGCATTTTTAGAAAAAAATAATCATAATTATTTTCCAATATCTTTTAATTTATTGCGATGAATAGCATCAAATTTTATGGGGAGGCTAAGTCTCCCTTGCCTCCTCTGACGAGCCGCCGCGGATAACAATCAACATAATTGTTTTCAATGACTATCCCAGATTCAAAATTCTTTCATTTACATAACATGAATATAAATAAATAAAAGACAAATTGGAGATATATATAGTTCAGGTGAAAAACACCTTACCCCCTTGCTTCTCTTTGGTCGGAACGACCAACGATAGATTGGTTTCGGCATACTTGCTCCTCATCAGTACCGGGCAGGTCATATATATATAAATATACAAAAAATAAAAAAGTATGCATGGTAAAATTTGCCCAATTGTGACTTCGAAAAATAATTAAGCAACAAGTTTATATACCACCTCTCTTGCACATAATGAAATTGAAGGATAATAAATAGTTTGGCCAGTAATTTTACTGATTTAAAAAAAAGATGTTATCCATTATTCATTACGTTTTTCACTCTTGAGAATATATTTTAATATTAATTTATTTCCCAATTTCTAAAAACAAAAAAAGTTGACCTGATGCAGACTTTCCCTTCGAGTTAACGAATTGCAAAAAAATTAAACATTCACTGATCTCTCTTGAATATTACCATTGCCAGCTACTGCTAACAGATGCCTTGTACTAGAACCACTGGTATAACTATCTCCACTGCTGCGAATGCTGGCATGTGATAAGGGAGTACCTGGTAGTCGCTGAGGTGTACTTTCCAATGAACTAATGTTTGTTCCATCATATAAAGGACCAGCTGAAGGTACTGGTTCGTCAGGTGTGTAATAGTCTGATTCGTCCCCTCTTTCACCTAAAATAATGTTTAAAAATAGCAGTAAAATTATAATAGAACCTGAACATATCTCGAACATGAAAATGAATATACATTTTTACAATCGTTTTTATATCGGAGTTTTTCGTTTGTATGTTCTTAGAAAATAGGTAAATTAGGTTGAACAATATTTGTAGTAAAATCAGTGGAACTGAAACAGAATATACAATGTTGAAAATTATCAGTAGAATTACACCAGACTATAATATGCTTTTCCACAAATAAAAATTATAGTCTTTTAATCCCTCATGTAGTTAACTGTAAAACTACAAAACGAATACCAGTAGACTGGTCCGGTTCCGAGAATTACATCAAAGTAATTGATAAATTTCTGTAATGACGTGTTGCAATAACTACAGTATAATAATCAATTATTTAATGAGAGATTAAAGAATATTACTGGAGCTTATTCCCAACACCAAACCGTTATTTTTAACACCTCGACCCGATTAAAGATGGTCACTTGTTGATTGAAACACGTGTCGAGGAATTAAAAATAACAGAAATAACTTCAAGAGAAGATTAAAGATGATCACTTGGTGATTGAAACACGTGTCGAGGTGTTAAAAATAACGGTTTGGTGTTGGGATTAAACTCCAGTAATATTCATTACCACACCAAAGATTCCAAAACGTGCATCACAAGTAATGAGAGATTCTATATATTATCAAAGAAATATTTATACTTGTTTGTTGAATACAAGAAGGCTTCACGGGAAGTGTTCAAGTGAATTGGCACATTTGATTCCACATCAGAAATACGCGAAGGACTGTGGCTCCTCATCATTTTGAGAGGTTCAACTCAGTACACCTCGAACTTCACTGTTTGAGAACTCTTCCATTTGGAGAACTGCGTTTATGTGAAATAAACTTCCTGAGAACACTTTTCCAAATGGATTTAATCTCCAGCGATTGAAATCTAATATTAATTGCTAGCACATGCACCGCTCTTAGAGCACCTTAAAGATTTTCCTGGAGTGCTTGCGTTTTGTCATTGAAAAAAGGCCCACTTACCATAGGTTTTTGATTTTTCAGCTGTAGGATGCTGCTCTTCTAGATCTGTGTCACCATCATCAATAGCATCCACAACATCATCCATATCTAAAGCTAAATCATTACCGTCCCGGTTGATGCTGCGATTTTTCTGCAATAAGGGAGAGAGTTTCTCTGATTCACTATCTTCATCTGGATTCTGCAAAGAAATATGTGTTATGGATAACAATGAACATTATGGTTTTCACAATACCCTACTAGAACTAATAACCTAGTCCTATTAAACATTGAAAGTGTGGAGATACATTTACAATTTTTACATATTTCAACTTTGAGGAAGAATTGACGAAGATTCTTCATATGAGATCGGTGGAAAACTCAAACCACGAATATTTTGGGTTCTTGGCATTGATGCTGCAGAGCTGAAGTGTTGCTTTTGCATTAGATCGTCCCTGTTAATTAAAAAAAGCAATACTGACTAGTAGCGGTACATGAATGTAACACTTTTGGGATCTTGTATCATCTGTTCCAACTCTGTTTAACAGAAAACTTGATGAGTATAAAGTATATGGCTCAGGGTTAGTTTAACAAAACTTATAACATGTTTCTACACTTACCACTTCTTTCTTTTCATTCACCATCTTCATATTGTCTTTATTTCTTCTCCTATCTTTCTCCCTTTCCAATAAAGGACATTTTGTCGCTTCTTTATTGACATCATCTCTCCTGGGAGCAATCATAACAGATACTCCATAGTCTGGACTAGGTGACTCAGTGTTCCGGTTTTTAGTTGGTGTGCTTCGGTCGCATTGTCTGTTAAGAATTTGAGCTGCCTGAATAGCATGTTCATTTTCTGGAGTTTCAACAAGATCTGGCATAGCTGAAGGAGGTTGGCGAGGAGTGCACGGACCATTTAAGGCCTCTATGAGGGAAACAGCTTCATATCCAGGAGGAATATTGTCGCAACTACCCTGCATTTATTTTTAAAATGGAAAAGCCATTTATATAACAAAAATATCATGATACTGAATTGAAAGAGATATATTTTTTGTCTTTCTGAAAACTCCATCTTCATACAAAAACATTTGGGAATATTCCAAAGAAAAGAAGAAAGCAATTAATTTCAAAATAAACTCTTTACAAAGATGTGTAGATCATGCAAAGAAGTTCATAAAACACAAACTGAAAGAAAAATCCCTCACAAAACAACTACTTTCATTAATATAAACATTGAATTACACGAAAGAAAACATACTTTCGAAACAACTACTTTTATGTGAACATTGAATTATACAAAAAACACTTTTTCCTATTCAGTTTGTACTCGAAACATTCGTTATTGAATTGAATCAGATATAATCCACAGGATTCCCAACAAATTAATATCCTCTAAAAATATTCTCGAAAGTATTCTGAAACATATGTCCTCCATAGAGAATGACAGTGTTCGATGTAAATGAAAGTTTACCTCTTTCATATACTATATTGTGTAGCAATCCTGCGAATGATATCTAATTGGTTTTTTTGTATATTTCAATGTTCATATAAAAGTAGTTGTTTCGAAAGNCTCGAGCTCGACAAAATAAAAATATTGGCGGTCACACAGGGTGTTCAATTTTTTCTGGGCGGATCCCAACTATGTTTTTTCAAATGGCAACCTATATTTTTTATCGTTTTTTCGGTTTCTACATAGAAAGTAAAACACACTTTATGTATATCTTTACGAAAATATTGACGGTTTTCGAGATATCTAGCATGATAAGTTTTTTTCCAATATTCGTCACTCAGAATATTTGAAATTATAAAGTTGTGCCAAGTACAATTGTTTTTATTTTTTGGTCAAATATTCTACAGTGGTAACTCTCTCAAACGATATATCTGAAGTCGACCTGTCATATACAGGGTATGAAAAACCGCTTGCCACATATTGTAAATAAAAATTTGCAGAATTTGCAGAAAGCGAAATCCATTTGACGTACATTCTTCAGTCGTCAAATGGATTTCGCTTTGAAAAAAGTCGAGTTTATGGCGTAGAAATAGAAAGAACGACCATTTTTCGAAAAAAATGCTTTTTTAAGAAAAACTATTGAACCTAGCCCTAGGGAATACTTGATGAAATTTGTAAAGGTTTCGTTGGCGCTCTTCATGAATCAATAATATATAGGGTGTTCCATTTAAAATAAGGAATATTCTGCAAATTTTTATTTACAATATGTGGCAAGCGGTTTTTCATACCCTGTATATCACAGTTCGACTTCAGATATATCGTTTCAGAGAGTTACCAATGTAGAATATTTGACCAAAAAAAATTCAATTGGACTTGGCACAACTTTATAATTTCAAATAATCTGAGTGACGAATATTGGAAAAAAAACCTGTCATGCTAGATATCTCGAAAACCGTCAAAATTTTCGAAGGAGGAATTTTCGAAAGGAGAATACTGAAACGCTGGCAAACAATCAGAGACCCTGTTGAGAAAAAACAGCTGAATCACGCCAACAGACAGCTGAAGCACCCTCCAGAGAAAGATCATAATGACGGATTTCATAATTACCTTTCCGGTCTGGATGCTACTGCTTTCTTTATAGAAGCCCACTAGAAGACTAAAACGGCCCGCCAATGTCTCTCCTATAAGAAAATTCAATGGTATCTGAGCACAAACAGACCAAGAGAAAGCCGAAACCTTCGCAGAAGATGCTGCAGAAATTACTAAACACTTTTCTTCCTTTCTTTGGAAGATTCCCACATTTTTTTGAATAAAGCCAAAAAAACCTTTCTTTCATCATGATATTGTTCAACAATAAGCCTTTTTTTCTTCATTTAAAATGATTATTGAATAAAATATTCTGTTCAAAAATTAAATATTGTGATTTCACTTACATCTGGTGGACTGATTGGAGCTAAATTTGAATTTGTGCATTTTTGTAGTGCTCGTATTTGAAGAAGTGCCCTGAATGGAGCTCGACAAATTGGACAATTGTTTGCTTGATAACGCAGTGAATCAGCACATGAGTTGCATAAACATAGATGACGACATGGCAAAATGAGAGTGTCTCGAACATCACACATACAAATTACACATTCTGAACCGTTGTCTTCTGTATCATCATCACCTCCAGCCTGAAATATTAATTATCATCATTTATATTCAACTTTGTGAAGGACGATAAAATCAAATTAAAATAAATGTAATGGGTTTTGTTGGTCTTCAATAACCAATAAGATGATAATGAGATATTTGATTGTGATAAGAGGAAACACCTGAAATACATGAAGCAAAACATATGAAAAGTGAGGTCACTAAAAAATTATTTCTCATTTATCCTTTCAACATTATTCATCAGTGGATGCCTAAACCATGTTGATTCAAAATTAGCTCAGAATGAAATAATTTATTTTGGCCAATTCCATTCACTGACTGACAGTGGAGTAGCCCAATAGGGGATTGTTGGGAACTTTCAACATATCTAAGCCCTCTGTATAAGGCCACACGTGTAACAGATTATTTTCATTATACAGGAAAGTGATATAAGATTCATGTGTAATGCCATAAGTCGAAACTCTTGCAAATCCTTGTTCAAATTACACATAATTTTGACATTCTTTGGAATATTTATTTTAGAAACAGAAAGTTTGATCAATAAACATAAGCGGCTGCTCCAATAATGATTCCCATCGGCAGACTAATGATATAAGAATACCCGTATCAGCCACTACTCTAGTAGTCAAATAATCTATATATTGTAACTGCCTTGGTAATGACAAATGAGATTTTGTCGAAACGTCGGTGAAATTAGAGATAATATCACATACACGGATCAAATACCCGGAAAAACCAGTTTAGCATATTCCTATCCGTGAAAACTTAAATTTTGGAGGTTTTGTATAAATATGGAAGAACTCTTCAAAAGCCAATTTTTATGTAACATAAATGTTTGTTTCTGATATTTTCTCGCAAATAAAATTAGTTGGGAAAAAATTTATGAGAGTACTGAAATGCATTAATTTGTTAAATGTGAAACATGAATTAGGTTATGTTAGGTTAGGTCCAAAGTGAGTGGGTATATTCAACCCTCCACCGCAATCCGCAAGGGTTTATTATGGCTCACACCTATTCACATTCGACCAAATAAACCCAGCTTCTTAACGAAACCGATTAGTTTGTATGGTGAGTGGTCTTTCAGGCCAGATGGTAACAGTACGGCTCTGCCAAACTATGAAAACCTGATTCGGTCCCCAGCGGGTCAGGCACAAAGTATGTGCTCTGCTATTTCATCATTTTCCAAATAGAGGTGACACACACACTGCCTTCACACAGTCCGAGTATCTGCATATGATGATTCAAATGACAGTGACCTGTGAGAAGGCCTGTTAGACATCGTAGTTCATCCCTACTATAGTCCAACAACTTTTTGGTATCAAGCTTCGAAGGGAAGACATGAAGGCAGACATAAATTACCATGTATAATTGTCAAATTTACTGCCAAGTACGTAAATAATCATTTGATTCGTGTGAATTTGTGAAAGGGAAAAACCATGAATTTTTCTAATGACAAGAAAATTGATATGCTTTTCGTATATGCAAGATGTTTGAGAAATGCTATTGGATCTCTAGCTTTCTATGGGGAACTGTACCCTGAGGGACGTCAGCCATCCAAAAGATATTTTCAACGTATTCAGAGGAATTTTCTAAATCATTATTCATCTGAAAAACCCTCGAGTAAGAGTTGTACAGTAACTATAAGAGATGGCAATACTGAAATTGGCGTTTTGGGTAAGTTCAGAAGACTTCCTCAGTAATAATAAAGTGATATTTATTCGATTCACGATTTGTGGAATACCGAAAACTTGAGAATAAAGAAATATCATTGAGAGAGATTGCATATCATAGTGCTATATCGACGTCAGTTCAAAAAATATTGAGAAGGAATAAATTTAGATCTTACAAAGTCGGAAAAATCCACCATTTGCGTTCAACGGGCTATGATAGGAGAAAAATATTTTGTAGATGGCTACTCAGACAACATCGTCACGATAATGAAATCTGTGATAAAATGTTATGGTGTGATGAAAGTATATTCACAAATAACGGACGATTAAACAAAAATATTCATTATCACTAGCGACAAGAAAATTTCTTCCTACATAGAGCTACAAATTTCCAAAGGAGATTTGGAGTTCATGTTTGGCTTGGTATACTAAACACCAAAATTATAGGTCCCTACTTTTTTGAGACATCTTTTACGGAGAAATTATTTTTGAAATAATTGTCAGAAACCCTAATTGAGTTTTTGGAAGATCAGCCTTTGAATAATCTGAGAAAATATCAGTATGTCAAACATGATGGAGTTCTGCCACATCGCCACATTTCTCAATACGACTGTGCCAGGACGATGGATAGGAAACAATGGTCATATTAAATGGCCACCACGTGCACCTGACCTGACCCGTCTGGACTATTCACTGTGGGGCTTCAATAAAGACAAGGTATTCGCCTCAACTTTTGGCAAAAAGAAGGGATTTGAATGGCTATAACTCCGCTAATGCTAGAAAACTATGTGCTTAGGGAGACGGCAATTTGAACATTTAATGAGATATCATGAACGATGTAGATGGTTAAGAGTATTTTGACATTTTTTTCTGTTTGTTACTTGGTATATTACATGTTCTTCCGATATGTGGAATTTATGTAAGCTTTGAGTTCTAGACCAAAAAAATATTGGTTCTTACTTTTTTTGAGGTAGCCCTGACCGTGAATCGTATGACCATGCAGTGATGATAATAAAAACGTCGGGAAACACATGTATTGTAATGAACATGAATTTATTCTATAGTGGCTACAAAAATTGATCACTGGCAGAAAACAAAGGGGTAAAACTTCCAGTAAATGCTTCAACCATCAATTTGACTCACACTTACGTAACGCTTCAAGGCTTTTAGGAGGTATGTACCGTCTGTTATTTTTTCAACTGTAGCCACAGTAGTATGTGATTGACGCATTTCTTCAGGTCCCTCTTCCGCCACACAATGTATTGCTATGGGTATAAGTTCTCTATCAACATCATACAATAATTCATCTTCACTGTATTTTGCTGGGTTAAAAACATGTGATGGCTGACAAAATTGCTGGTTAGAACCTCGAACGTAATGGAATGTCTCTGAAGTTAGAGATGGATCACGAGGAATATACCTAGAAAGTACTATAGTTGATTTCAGATGTCTAGGGATTGTGCATCTTACAAAAAGCATGAAAACACTTTCTTAACATACATTTTTTTAAAATGAAGGAATTATTGAGATCTACACCTACTCAAATAAACACCTCACCTATTTTAAGTATTTTCAAGGTACAATTAATATTTTTTCTCAAATAAGGGTTTGTTATGTTGATTATCAATAAGTAAAAATGTCGAAAAGACTGCATAACGTTGATTTAAAGGTGAAAAAATTAAAACTGACTGATTGTTATAACGTTTTCTTTATTTTTCCATCAAAACATAATCCTTGTAAGGAAGTTTCGGTTTCGGCCGAAACTGAGACCTTTGCCGAAATTTATTTTCGTTTTCGGTCGTAAAAACCTGTTTTCGGTTTTGGTCGTAAAAACCAGTTTTGGGTCGGACACTATTTACAACTTTAAAATTCAGTATACTCACGATACTCCATTGGAAGTGAATTCTTCTGAACAAAAGTAATATATTGTGATAGCACATCCAACATCACAGTCAAATGTGAATTCTATGTTAAACGTAGTGTTAGTTCCCAGCTCAACATCTTTGTATCCACATTTCTCCATATTTAATTTGCTATACTCATTAGTAGATCTCACAAATCTAAGAGATTCTTTTCTAATATTCACCAAGCTCTTCAGTGTTTTGGTAGGTTCATTAGGTTGAGGGGGTGGATAAGGAAACTAAAACCAGGAATATTAAATTAAAATATTCAAAACAAAAAATAATGTAAGAAACCCTGGTGATTGGAAACTTTAATATGCAAAAACGTTTGTCAAAAATACTCGACATTCGTCATACTATTACTAATCTTTCATTTTTACTAGGAATGTTGATTTTTTTTGAGATATTTATCTGCCTTTTATGATAGTAGATAGACTTGTCAAATAACATCTGCCCACAAGGAAAGCATTGGGAATACCATGTGAAATCACTTAACTATTGTGAAAAGTAGTATCGTGAAATAATATTTGTTAGGCCACCAAATAGAAGTAAACACAAGTAAATTCACTCCAGGTCGGCGTCTTTGATTATCGGGTCGAAATTTTATTTTTTGCTGGCATGTGGCGGGGCAGGAGGGTGTAGGCTAAGAGCTATCGTACACCTCGTACACAGATTTTTTTAAACCTCTGCACGTGGTTCGATCAAAAAATATGTGACCATGATCTGACTTAATCATTGCTACGAGGATCTCACAGTAAATATCTCATATGATTGTGAACTGTTTAGGAATTCAGTTTCATTGCTCGAGTTTGAAAGCCGTGGATTTTTGGAATTTCTTCCTGACGTTTCGCTGGCGCGAGTGGCTAACTTCTTCAAATGTTTAACCATCATGGCTTGCTGTCCGATGACTGTCATGCAGTCATCAAACACTGGCATAAGTATTCTTCGCTGTAGCTACCGAATGACTGAAAACTTGACTGGCTGATTTAACCTTCATCCTTTGAAAGTTAGTTGAAAATGAATGAAAATCAGTAAGTTTGGGTGCTAGTCTATTGCTTTTCCTTATCCAAGTTGTAAAGTTATCCAAGTTGTAAAGTTGTCCAAGATGACTATTGTTTGTTGTAAATTCATTAAATTTCAAAAAGTCATTGAAAAAATGGTTTCTGCTACATTTCACCAGATGAGGAGTATCAAAAAAGTAAAATATTTTTTCTCATCAACAAAGAAATATGGCTGCTCTACAGTCACTTTGACATCTTCTCTGGCAAAATTAAAACCTAAATCTGAAATGATACCCCTAACTCTCAATTCAATTTTTGATAATTGCTCAACAGCTTCAATCAGAATACTTTTTATATCCGGTATTGATGTGGATGAATTGGTAAAAAAGTATGCAACAGTAGGCTCCAAAAAAGGTTACCTATTTGAATATACATTTGATACTTTGGTTTTGCAGATTTCAGTGGAAGTAATATTCTTCATACATATACATACTAGCCAAATCAAAAAATTTGGTTCAACAATATATAACAATTTATTTTATGATTTTCGTTATATGTTCATTCCTTCAATCTTACACACATTTTTTCGTCAATTGTAAATCTAAAAAAAATTAATGTCGACATCACCCTGCAAATTACAGCAACCCACAGCTCGACACTTGTTCATTTTGAAACTAGACACGGATTTTTCACAAATACAAATACAAAACCACCACTTACAACGACTCAATCTGTAATAATATTCCATGCCTCAACTTGGCACCTTTGGTAAACCCATCAGATTCAGTCGGTTGAGCTGTAGGTTGGCTGAGCATAAAATTCGAGGTGGGGAATCTTGACCCAAATATGGCGGAGAGTGAACTTACTTGTGTTTACTTCTATACGGTAGTTAGACATACATTTTTAATTTAACAAAATTCTTTATTCCGCAAAAATTCATTTCAATCTGTTAAGTATTTTGCAACGCAAAGAAAAAAAGTAAAAAATATATAATCATTTGTAGAAAAATGTACAAGAATCTTTTTCATGGGAAAGAATTTGGCTTTCTACTTCTCCAAAAAAATGTGGGAATCTTCCAAAGAAAGGAAGATAGTAATTATTTTCAAAATGAACTCTTCACAAAGATGCAAAAAGAGTTCAGTCTAAAAATAATTACTTTCTTCCATTCATTGAAATATTCCCACTTTTTTTTATATGAAGATGGAGAAATAGATCATCATCGATGATCGAAACCAAAGGGCTAGCATTCGACGCAGCACAAACAAGGACCCGAAGAAGCGGTTTTAGCGAGGCATCAACGGAAAACGAGGGCGAGAGTATTCCATTCACTTGGCTTATCCTTGAAAACTATAACTCCTATGTTATTTATGACTGAGGAATAGCTGAGGAATTAAATGTTCTTAAGAAAAACGTAGTCAATTGAAATCATCTTTAACCTTTTTCTCAAAATATGTCGGTCGGTAGCCAGGCGGTTCGACGTGGGTGCTTTGTTCACTCACTCGTATTGACTGCCGTGTTGGTCGGTGGTTCAAGCCCCAGTATGAACGATCGATTTTCACTTGCTATCGCCCAACCCGTGTTAGGAATCACACGTTAAAAGGTAAGACCTCATTAATCCTTAGCTCGCACAAGTTTCGACCTCCGAGGGTTGTCGTTCGTAGGGGTGCGACAGCTGGTTAACGGAAAAACAGATTTTGAAACAGATTAAACAGGCAGGAGTGGCAGAATATTTTTGTCTGAAAAATACTTCAAGTCAACAGAAAAATTGTAAAAATATTTGTACATATAAATGTAAAAATAAAACATCAAAATGAATAGCTTCAAGTTTCAAACACGATTACAAACATTTTAAAATGTGCGTCATATTACGCATGATTATCGAAAGTAGAGATAATTTTTATAAATACATAGCACGAATTTGAATAAAATTTTCATAAATTTCTACAAGCCAGAAAATATTCATGAGTATTGTAGGATTCTAGATTACATAAGAATCTCTTACAGATTTCAGAAATCTGTTAGCAACGTCAATATATTTAATGTTTTTTGGTAGATTATTATAAAATTTTATTCCAGTATAAAACATAGTGCTACATAAAAAGGCTCCTCTGCAGAAATCTCTTGTATTTATATTGAAGATAATTCTGATAATTCTTTTTTTGACACAGGAAAACTCTATTCAACCCATGACTTGAGCTCCAGATGATTGTTTATCCCTCGACTCATTCAGAGTAAAAAATTCGCATAATATACTGAAATTACTTCAAGTAATTTTTTTTGTCAGAACTCAGAGTATGTTACCGAGGATAGTTTATGGCAAAGGTTGTCTATCTGACTAGTCCAACTTAAAGGGTTATTTATCAATGTATATGCCTGGAAACTTCACTGAAATGTTGCAAATGATTTTTCGATTTTCCATGATTATGTTTTGTGGTGTTTTTATACTGTTATTGATTTTGAAAATGATACTTTTTGTTTTTCCATCGTTCAGGATACTGGACGGTAGGGATATAACAATAGGTTCAATATGAGTGAAGATAAAACAGGAGTGCATTCTACAATTGAAAATTTGATTTCGCGAACGTTCTACGCTCCATATTGTATCCACTATTTAAATCTGGCGTTTAACGATATGGCAAAAGTATCCTTGGTACTTTTTTCAATATGGTTCAAATATATATGTATTTTTTTCGGTATCTACTTTTTGGTGGACAGTAGTTTTAAAGCATGTCCAGGGATTAACTTGAGAGACACTAGATGCTAGAGAAGAATAGAGGCCTTAAAGCCTTCAAGATTTCATATATGAGATGTATTCAAAGCTTTGCTAAGAATTCATAAAAACCAAGCCTTTTGTTTATTAAATTGTATCAAACCATTCAAGTTTTTGTGTTTCATAGTAATTTGAAATAAAATATTAAACTGCATTAATCCAATAAGCAAGTTAATGCAAACAAAATATTTCGATCTAGCATTTGCATTCGATCTTTCACAAAACAACAAAAAATTCCTCAAGCGAAGTCAAATAAGTCCTTCAATGGCAATATTGTTGATGTAAGAGAACTGGTTGACGAAAGTGATGTTGAGGCTAAATTTGAATCTGCGCCAAGAAATAATCCTGGATTTTCAGATTATGAAGTTATTTGTTTCGGCCAAACAATCTCGATACATATATAATTTCATAACTTCTGTCAAAAAATTGATTGGAACCTTATTCATGAGCAAAGGATCTGGTGAATTTATTTCAAGAGTTAATTAAAACGCTCCAAAACCGTGGATATTTAAATGAATCAAAAATGCATCAAAAAACCTATATTGCCAGCACGTCACCAGGGAATTTCAAAGTTAAAATGGACTTTTCATGAAATCTTTCAGAAAATACCCCTGCATTTCAAATAAAACATTACAATAATAGGTTAAACCAAGAAAAATGAAATGTGGGCCATAATTAACAATATATGGACAAAATAACTAAATAAAGCATAAAATTAAAGAAATTTTGATTCATTGATTAAACATTATTGCTCAATAGCAATAGCTATATTAACTGCGAAAATAAAATCTATTGTCAACTCTCTGGATAATTTGAAAAAGGTGTTCGATCCATTAAAGTCTGGTTCAGTATGAGTCAATAACAGTTACAACTGAAATAAAAAACAAAATTCTTTGGACGATGACTACCTGTCAGCAAAATTATTGCTGCAGCTGCCAGAGATGAAGCACTTAGTGCTTCCACTGATGATCCAAACAACTTCAGACCTATCTTGATTCAGATAACACTATCAAAAATAATAATTCTGAGATTTCGACAAGCATACCTTAAGAATGCGAGATTTCATTGTAAGTTGAATTTTATATTTACGTTCTTCTGTTTATGTATAATTTTCCTGTGAATGAGATCCGTTTTAATTCCATAACGATTTTTTTATATTGTTTTTTTGGGTTTATAACCTTACACAATCTGAAAAAATGAAAGTTAAATCAATAGAGAATCGGCTGAATTGTAGTAAAAGGGCAAACTGAAAAGTTCACCCCGAAAAGTTACTATTTAATATAAACTACTGAAAAGTCCAATTTGTCAACAACTTGTCATGTTCATTAATTTTGCCTACAAATTGAAAAATATCAATTGAAAAAATCAAATATTGATACTTAGCTTTCTCAAGTGGTTGCCATTACTAAGAAAAGAGGTTGAAAAAGAAAATATGAACCTTAACTGAACTTAATTCTCAAAAAACATCCGGTATGTGTGTTCATGTAGACTGTCATGTGTGATATCTGGACATTTCATTCTTTTGGCTTGCGCCAAAAGAAATTAGAACTATCACAGTTTGAGGTGAGATTTTCATAGCAAATTTCAGGTTTCGAAAATGGAAAAGGATTGTTTTCCAAAACCCCAACCACTTTCGAAAGCTAGATATCAATATTTAACTTTTTCAATTGATATTTTTCAATTTGTAGGCAAAATTGATGAATAAGACAAGTTACTAATTGGACATTTCAGTAGTTTATAGTACGCAGTAACTTTTCGAGGGAACTTTTCAGTTTGCCCTTTACTACATTTGAGCAGATTCTCTATTGATTCAACTTTTATTTTTTCAGATTGTGGAAGGTTATAAACAAAAAAATACTGTGTAAAATATTGAGTCCCCAAAAAAATTCTTTTAAAGAATATCCATAACGAATATTTTGGAGACCGGACTGAATGGAAAAAGTATTTTTCATGTAATTCAATATTAATATGAAAAGAGTTGTTTCGAAAGGACTTTTTCCTTTGTGTGGTTTACTTCATCTGCTAAAAACGCCAATTTGGTTGGTGAAACACGCGTCAAGAAGAGTGTTGCAGTTCTGGCGTTTGGGAGAAGTACTTGTTTTGGATTTACTCTTTGCCAGAAGTTCCTATTTTACTTTTCATACTTCAATGTTCATGTGGAAATAGTAGTTGTGCATCCAAATCAGTTAAGCTGTTTTGAGATTAGCGTGCACATGTGCACAGTCACGGCATATAATTACAAATATAATCATTGATAATGAGCAAAACTTCAGTGGGGAGTATTTTGCAAGATGATATGTAAAAATGAGGGCTACTCGTCTTCAAGACAAAGCAAATGCCAACTTGTGATTTGAGATTGAACGTTAGTTAAATATCAAGTTCATTTAGCGATGTCTAGAGAGCATTCAACAGTGAATTCATTTAATGGTTCCATTGAAATATATTTGATCAGCATTGGTAGATTAGCCTTGTCTGATTTTTTCTGTTAATTCCATGATCATGTGAAATCGAATATGCATCTGCTTCCTCCACTATGAATTTTAAAAACCAAACACAGTTAACTTGTAGTATTTTGACAAAACAATATTAACATTTTTGGGAAAGAATAAGTAATATCACCAGAGTTTTATATACCTTGCCATTATACTTACCGGAGTAGGTCTATTCCCAAGAAAATTCAAGTCTGAATTCTCGCCAAACAAATATGCTTCTGGCTGTGGAGTGTCAAATCTTTCTCCGCCCATTATGAAGTGGCTTCCAAAGTAATTTCCTTAAATGAAATATATAACAAAAATACAAGGTGATTGTATTAAATTTACCTGATCTAGGTGGGTACTTATATGCATGATTTGAGACGACATCAATTTCTTCAACCCCATCATGTTGTCTAGTGGTTAGCAATGCACCCATTTCTTTAAAAAAAATTATAGAAATATTACAGTATAGAATTATTTCAAAATTCCATTATTTATTTTTCAAATTTTTTCTCACTGCAAACACTGTCAACATCTGGCCTGGCTCTCCAATATATGTCATATGTCATTCATTATGCAGTTTGTTTTTGTTCTAGCAATGGTTTTAGTTAACCGAATTAACATGAACTAGTGATTATCGGTGTAACTATCAAAGAGGGAACATCATTATGCTTTGCCCCGATAGAAAAAAAAAGACTCAAGACTGTAAAGGTAGATAAGCCTAACTATTATATAAAGCTTATCCAAAACGCGCGCAATAAAGATCTTTTTGAAATAGTGTTTTTGGAACATAGCTTAATGACCAAGAACGCTGATATTTCCGATTAATTTCAAACGTTGAGGGTGCGAGACTATGAACAGTTTTATGCGACTGAAATAAAACAATCAATTCCAGGAATTTCAAAATGTCATCCGATTGAAGTGAAATCTCTTGAAATTCTAATCACTTTATTTCCAGAAAAAATTAAAACTTTCAATTTTCAGTATCTCAAAACAAGAAAAAGTCACTTTTTGTATAAAGCCCTTCAAATAAATCACGCTATCTCTCTCACCGTGTCTACATTGCTTTATGACTCTCCTGGTTGTGAAGTTTAGCTGGTTTTTTAAGCCTTCATGTTTGAGTAGAACCAAGAAGAGAAGAAACAGAGAAATTTTGGGTTATGTTTTAGCTGTCTACTGTGGTTATGTATCAGAGTTTGTATGTTTTTGTAGGGTTCGCTTTGTAGTGAAAGTACATTTAATTAAATATACATGTATATGTATTGTTCATAAAAAGATATGAATTCATTTGGTCGCTGCTGCAAGGAAATATTTGGAAAGTTGAGGAATTCGCCTTTGGCTGTAAGCCCCAATAAAAATCCATTAACTTTCCTGAAAACAAGAAACTCTTATTTCAAACAAAATTTATGTTCATTTCAGGGTGAGAATTATAATGGTTACATCGTAGTTCATACTAACATTGGAA